ATATCAACACTCATTGCGTTTTTGCACAAAACCTCAAACTCTTATTATTATAACCGAATACCATAAATGCAGCAGCAAACTACAAGTGACTATAAGCTACTGCAAGCTGCAAGTCCTGCAGTTAGAACCAGTGATATAAACTCGTGTCTCCTTGCGGACAATAAAGAGTCTCTACTTGCAGGTACAGATTCTATAATAAGAGTTTGAGGTTTTGTGCAAAAATTCGCGAAGGCGCTGATCGTGTGCTACAAGCCGGTCGGAATTCGTATCTTTCGTTACGTATGGCTTGTATTGTGCCTGACACTTAACTTTAAAAAAACAATAATAAAAAGTTATTAGTTACTGATAAAATGTAACTAAATAAAGTTAAAAAGTTAGGAGTCTAAAATGTAACTAAGTTAAGTTAAGATTAATTAACTTTTTAACTTTTTAACTTAACTTTTAACTTTTTAATTTAGCACTACCCAACTCTGGTAATAACCTACAAAATATCACATGTAGAGTGATACATAAGTGTATCGCGCAACAAATTGAAGCGGGGAGCACAGACTTTTGCATAACGCATAAAGCATGTGCATAAGGAATTTCATTGGTCCATTTTCTTATGCATGAGTCAATGGACCAATCAAATTCTTTATGTATATGGTTTATGCGTTATGCAAAAGTCTGTGCTCCCCGCTTGACGCCTGCGCGTTACAACAAACTGAACATAAATAAGGACAGAATTAGCATTGGCGGCACCGTAGTGTTTCGATCGCAAACCACGCCATATTAGCCATATAGTAGTATTACATATATGCAGAGAATGGAAGTAAAGGTACTTTTTCATGCGCAGCACGCTGCAGCAGCAATTCGTTACTATTGGTTAAGAATTTTATGTAAGCTAGATGACGCACTTCCGGCGCAAATACATTTTGCCGCAGTTCGTTGAAGTTGAACCGAACGAACAGCAAGCAGCAAGCGGCAAAAAGCGAAACAGTTTAAAAGACGATGACAATAAGTAGTGATGCACGAAGACGAGACAAGACGATATTTTTCAAAATATCGTCTTGTCTCGCAAAAATATTGAACAATTAATTCTTGTCTTGATCTCGTTATCAAGATCAAAAATAAATCTCGTCTTGATTTCAATATTCTCGAAAATATTGATTTTTATTAAAAATTTTTTAATTTAAAAAGTATTAAATATATTAAAGTATTAAAGTATTAAATTTAAAAAGTATTTAAATGTACTAAAGACGAGACAAACGATATTTATGATTTTTTACTAAGATAAGATCATATTTCTGAATCTAAAAGTATAATCCAATCAGTGCAAACAAAACTTCCAACAGTTGCAAAATAAACTTTCTGCTGAACGCAATTAATTGGAAAAAGGAAGGCAGCATAGTGATATAAAGACAAGGGCATGATATAAAGACAAGGGTATGCTCGTCCGGTGGTAATCCACTGCGCATCTATCAAAAATAGAGGGGATAAGCACGTGACTGTCACCAAGTTACGTCACATTCGATTTATTTCGGTTAATTACGGAGCGGTTCGAGTTCGGGTAATATGGCCGCAAAAACGATCGCGAGCATAGTAATAGTGTATGTGCGTAAGTAGCGTGTATATTTATCATAAAGTGATCGTGCGTGATAACAATGAATTGCGCAGTAAATATATTTCTTGAATTTTTTACAACAATGTTTTTAAACCTATAATTATTTCTTATTTGTTCAATTCAAACATAATAAAATATAATTTCTTACAATCGCTCATAATATTGAATGTTGTTTTAAAATTCTATTTTTCAATTATTGATTATGTAAAGTGGGTTTTATAAATCGCGCGCTTCTATAAGATAATGTTTACAACAATAATAAAATGACTTTTTATAATATAAAAATTATTAATTTCAAGATAATGTCATATATAGTACTAATATATTACATGATACGTTTTATTCTTAAAATAAACATTTCAATTAAAGTACTGCAAAGACCGTTGTAAGTATATTGATAAATAATACATTTTAATTTACCGGAAAAATAATGATGTTTTTTTCGTATTTTTTTTTATATTAAAATGTTTAATGTAATTGATTTATTTGGAAAATTTTATATATTTAAATTAATACAATATCAATTTAATAAAATAATTTATGTATTAAATATAATATATACATTAATTTACATGTGTTATCATTAAAATTTAATTTAATATAATAATAAGATTAATTTTTGTTTATTTCATACAAGTTTATTTCATACTTAATTAATAAAATATTACTTTCATACAATTTTTCCGTCCAAAATGAACTTTACATATACTTAAACATATTATACTTTGTATCTCACATCTCAGTAAAGTAATGCGTATTAATGTATTACAAAAAATTCAATAAAAGATTATTTTTTATGCTGACACTTATAAAAATAGTAAAATAGTAATTTTTTATAATGTACATTGCAAAGAAATTATAATAATTTCGAAATTACTGCGTAATGATGACGTAACTTGGTGACAATTCTGATTGGCCAGTTGACAGTCACGTGATTTATCGATGCGCAAGAGCATACCCTTGTCTTTATATCATGGGCAGCATAGACGATTGAGCGCGTGCATAAGGGTACGTTTCCACTGAGCACGTCACGACGTCACGCGTTGCGTCGTCCATCGTGTCACGACGCGACGCGAAAACGAGAAGTTTATAATATTATAAAATTGTATTGATTTTATTTCATTGCAATAACACAATATAGATTAATATAGATTATAATATAGACAATATAGATTATAATATAAAATAGTAATACTCCATATATCAGTGAAAACATTTATATTCATTTATATAAGTATGAATAATAAGCCACTAAACGTAATTAAAATTATTTCTATATTTTTTCTATTAGATGTTATCTATTAATTTGATATATTTCGAATATATTTATTTATTTGATATTCGATATTTTCGATATTCTTGAGCCGAGAATATTGATCTTGGAAAAGTAATATTGTCTCGTATCGAAATTTATTAAATCAATATTGTCTTGATATCGTCTTGATTTCGAGACAAGACAAGACAAGAATCTTGATGTCTCGAATATTGCGTGCATCACTAACAATAAGTGTTGAAACATCGTTTGTTTTTATCTAGTTTTATCCATGTTATTTTTCTAATATATATTTATACATTTAATTACATTGTCATCGTCGTTCTTATCGGAAATAAACTATTTCATTTTTGGCTCGTAACCCTTCTCATTTTACTTTTATTTAATTTATTATTTGAGCCATTCTACATTGTTTTTTTTTTTTTTTTAAATAAAACTATATATTTGTCAGTATTACATATAATAAAAAAAAATGCAAAAGTACATTTTTAAATTGATTGTAAAAAAGTAACGGAAAAGTAATGAAAAGTTATTTTTCAAGTAACGGTAACTGTAACGAGTTACTTTTAAAAAGCGATAACTGTAACTGTAACTAGTTACATTTTTTACTCGGTAACGAGTAACTGTAACTAGTTACTTTTAAAAAGTAACTTTCCATTCCCTGCATATATGATTATACGTATTTTATAGACCGTGTGAATGCTCCTATTTTTGAATATGGCCCATCGGGAGCTGCTACCAATTGTACAAGTATGGCAGAATATTGGCAGGTACTTTTTACCAATGAAATGATAAATATGATTGTGGAGCACACGAATGACAAAATTGAAGATGTGTGCTCGAAAATGATATCGCAAAATCAGAACATTCAAACTTACCATCATATTACCGATGAAGTAGAAATAAAAGCATTTATTGGACTTTTATACTATTCTGGCGCATGGAAGTCTTCAAACGTAAATTTGAAATATCTATGGGATTCGTCAAAAAGTCAGACGATGTATAGATGCGTCATGCCGTACAGGAGATTCGAATTTTTACTTGCGTGCATTCGTTTTGATAAGAAAGAATCACGTGATGCAAATGATCATTTTGCACCGATTCGAAACTTGTGGGACAAATTCATGGCAAATTGCGAAAGCAATTACACGCCAAGTTCGAAATGTACAGTCGATGAGCAACTGCTCGGCTTTAGGGGGCGCTGTCGTTTTCGGATGTACATAAAATCTAAGCCTGATAAATACGGAATTAAAATCGTCACCCTCAATGATGCACAAACTTGTTATTTGGTACATTTTTATTTTATTATTTCAAATTTTCTTTCTTTTTATGTATAGTTCTACATATAATAATATAATTTCAGATCATTGGAGTTCCGTATTTAAGAAAAACCTCGGTAAATGATGAATCCATTTGCGAATATTTTTTTCGCGAGGTCACAAAACCGATTCATGGCACTGGGCGAACGGTTACATGTAACAATTGGTTCACAACGATACCGTTACTTATGCGAATGTTGGAACCGGAATTTAATCTCACGATGACCGGAACAATAAGGAAAAATAAAAGAGAAATCCCCGAAGTCATGAAAACAGCATCTAAAAATCCACCAGCTTCAAACTTTTGTTTCACAAACAGCATCACCTTGGTCAGTCATACTTCCAAAAAACACAAGCTTGTTTTATTGGTTTCATCGTACATTCATACAGAGAACATAGTAAATAATAAACCTGAAATAATTCTGCATTATAATGACACCAAAGGAGGGACCGACTCTTTTGACCAGCTGTGCCACACGTACACCGTGTCGCGAAGGACGCTCCGTTGGTCAATGCGGATTTTTTTCGGGATGCTGGACCAAGCGGCTGTCAACGCCAGAATTATGCTGAACTGCACCCAACTAAAAGAAGGACAGAAGCCAGCAAAAGCCTTTCAGTGCTTGGAGTCGCTGTTTAAGCATTTGCTCTTTCCATACCTTACACAAAGATACACAAATAGATCGCTGCGAAAGCCTATCATATTAGGTATTCAAGAAATATTGAAAATAGATCGACTTTCCGAACCTGAACAGACGCAGCGTCCACAGTTGGATAAGCGTGTACGATGCGCCTTTTGCGGCAGACGCAAAGACGCAAAAACAAAAGAAGTCTGCGCTGTTTGCGAGCGGTGCAGTCAGCTCCGATCATTTTATTTACACATGCCTAGACTGCTTCGTCGGTACAGACTAAGATTTTTTAAGTATTTTTTTTAATATTATGACGATACAGTGATTACTCAGACTTCATTTTTATGTCAGAAAATGTAAAATAAAACAAAATACAAGTGTTTTGAAAGGTTTCAAAGCATTTTTATTCATTTTCATTTTTCTAAAAAATCGACAACTTCACATTGCAAAATAAATATTGTTTTTGAAAGCTGGCATCACAACACAATTTTTTACTTAAAGGTACATAATTCAAGAGTATCCAGTTCAAATTTTAGCTTAAAATATTAAAAATTAAAAAAGTTATAATTTTTTACTCCAAAAAGTCACTTTTTCTATGTTTTTGGAGCATCGATTTTTTCCTGATCGACTGAATTAACTTTCGATCATTCTAACCATTAAACCTTAAGAAGAACATTATAAAGAACACTCTATAATTTTTTCACAACGAAATTCTAAATACGGTAGGTTACACAGATCATTTTAGACGCTGGGGTCACAAAGACCCCGTATGCGCTTTATGAAATTCTGAGGTACGTGTGCGCCTTAAGGGATAATAATAATTAATAATAATAAAATAATAATAATAATTTAATATTTTTATTTTTAATTAATTTTCGGCCTTTCTTCTTTTATTAAACATAACATATTTTCATCATCACTACTACCACTACTTGTTTCTAATAATTTATCTATAATAAATAATAGTCTTTCTTTATCCATTTTGTAATTTTTTGCTGCCTAACTAGTTTTATTTGTCCGAACACCAAACTGCACTGATAAAAATGTCAGTGCAATATTTCTTGCAC